GGCTATAGCCTCAGTGTATTTCAGTAAACGTCCTTGACCGTTTTTATAGATGACCTTAAAGGCTGAGTTAACATCAACCTTATGGTTCATCTCGATTAAATGTTTAGCTATAGACGAAGTTGGTAGTCTGGCACCTGCATTTATGGGCTTGTCACAATTCATCTGTTTTCCTAACCACTTTGGGATATGCTCTCCCACCCTCACGTGCAACGCGCGATTACTCCTCCCTATGTATGTATGTCCACACACACACGAAAATTGGTAAATTGTATGGGATGTGATATAATCACTTGTGCACTTTTGATGTTTCCAGTGAAGCATATTTTTGGCCTTTTCGACAATTACAAGCTGGGCTGCATAGTAGGTTCTACGGATGATGGAATTCAACCTTTGTCTCAAAATCCTACTATTTATTTCCCCATTATATGGTAATTTGATGAAAACCTTTTTCTTAGGGACGGTATGGATTGTAGGTTTAGAGGCTAGTTGACTTCTACACCTGTTTAAACTCTTCAAAGGATATCCGTTTTCAACAAGAGTATCCATCAATATTTCGTTTTCCTTGTCTAAAACATCATCCGTGCAAATACGCTGAATTCTCTTAAATAGACACTTCAGCAAGCCTCTCTTATATTGTAATGGACAGAAGCTGTGAAAATTAAGATATTGCCCTGTCCAAGTGGGCTTTCTGTAGATAGAACGTCTTATTGAGCCATCGTCTCTTCGACTCAGAAGTATGTCTATATTGACTTGACAAGTAAATGTGTGATCAGATTGTTCGAAATGTATAGCGCTAATACATCACATTTTTCAGATAATCTCCGTCTTCTAATAATGCCATCAAAAGAGATTCTTTAAACCATTCAAAATTCACTTACGAAACTATTCCCTGTGTATACATAATAAATCTCAAATGATACACACAGTTGTTTATAATTCACATTAATAATGCATAAATGCCGTAGGCCAACTGGATAGTCAAAAAATCATACAAGCAGAGGCTAAAATTACTCAGTAATAAATCAAACACCTGCACTCTATGTCTACGCTTGCATAAAATAAAAACGAAAAAGCCGTAAATATCGGTAGAATGCTAGGCAGACAAAAGGAGAGAAAACAGAAGTCTAATGAAAGAAACTATGTCAAATCAAAAGATTAATTCTTTTAAGTCAGTGTGCATTTTGTACATACATAATAATCTCATTTGCATAGTTCAGTGTTGAACAGCGATTAACTTCCTGTAATGAAAGATCATGTGTTTTTATATTATTGCACCTATGTGCTCAAGAGGGAACATAGTGCCTTTTACCGGAAATCTCTATTTTGATTTCTTTTCTGCAATCCTCTTTAACTGGCTCCACAACTTTTCGCAGGCTTGCATTACTTTCACACACGATGTCCTCCATGTTAACTTTTGAACAACACTAAATACGTCGTTTTCAATTCTGTTTCCCCTCAAGTGACTGACACGCAACAACACTAAGTGACTCCCTAGACTGTGTTCTACTCTTGTTTTTAATCTTTTCTGGCCAGCCATCTAACCTTCAATATGAAGTCAGAGAAGTGGGTAATCGTTGCTAAAAGTCTGCGGTAGACTGTTGGATATGCTTTTCCCGACGCAAGTGCCAATTTTCTGACTCATACAAAAGAAATGACTCACTTAACTTCGGTACTTGAAATTCGAAACTTGTTCCGTATGCTGAGTGCAGAAGATTTCCGACCTGACTTTGAAGTGATTAAGGTCTGCCTTGTCTTCCCGATTTTCGGATTTGTTGTCCTCGTCCGTGCTACCCACCTGTAATTGAAACGATGGCACCTAGATAAGTCAAGGAGGTGACCTGTTTCAAATTTCTCCCGTTAATAGTGATTAGTGCTTGTTAGTGTTGATTGGTTATTTCTATCGCTAGTGACCCCACCCTGGAAAATCAACCTATTCTCTACAGATACTTTGATGGGACGATGAAAGAAATAATAATTAAAAGGGTATAACGAGTACACGACTTTTAGGTGAAACGATGACTCTGGCTAAAGAAAAATAATGTCACAACTACATTTAGTATGTTATTTGAATAAAACTGATCAGAAATTGATTTCAGTTACAGAACCGTTGAAAAACAGCCGCTAGTTCTCAATAGCTGTTTCGTCCTTGTTTGAAACTCATCAATAATACCCACCTGTGATCCCATGAGGAGTGAAACCTAAGGTCTTTAGGTTACGAGGCAAGCATGCTAACCATTCAGCCACTGGGACGTAATCTAAATTCCCATCAATTCTGACTTCTACCAATTCCCCTGGATAGGATCCCTAATGATATAATAAGTGACTACTACTGAGGAGTCTCAAACAAGGAAAAAACACCTGTGCACTCCATGATGTCCAGTGGTTAACTAAGTAAAATCAATTCATGATCAATCCTGACATCAATTAAATTCCTGCAAACGAACACCTGAAAGGTCGAATAATTTCTGTAAGTAACTCACTGAATTCTATATCAGTGTAATGTAATTCTTTAAAATATTTTCTAGTTAACGAGATAGAAATATTTTATGACATCATTTAGGTGTGAAAATAACATTTTCTAAGAAGAGTCTTATTCATCCATCTTGAGGGTGAGTAAGGCGTTGTGACAAATCAACGGGAAGATCTGCTGATAGAGTTTAACTAAGAGATTCCAAACTATTGGTACACTTAGTCATCAGGACCTCTAATGAAATGAATGTTGTCATAATCAGTCAACCTGTAAATGAATTTCCATGGAACCACTTTATCCTACCATAAATTAGGCCAGTTAAAGTTGCAGATTCAAGGAGAAGCTACTGGTGAACACCATGATCAACCTTCATATTGTGTTCAATAACTCTATTAAGTTAAAAAGAATTAGACCTATATTGGGAAATATTTGTTAGAGAGAGAACAATCTTAGAACTGAATAATTTTGCCTACTATTATCAACTCATTATTGATTCTTACTAGATTATAACTATTATTAGCATTTTAGTGATAAAATCTTGAATCGTGTCTTCTCCAATTAACTTTCACATTGGACTTTATCAAATACATACATCTTGCTTGATTCGTGTGACCGTTCTAGGACAAAGATGAGTTGGTTTCAAGGGCAGTCCAGATACAGAAAAACGCATCTCCCCATCCAGCTGAACTTATTTATCGAATTTAAAAAAGTATATAAGAGTATTATAAGAAGATTAACAGAAAACACCTACAACATGTTTCATATTAGCTCCTTAAAATTATTCAAATTTAGCCAATAAATAGCTCAGTGTGCCTACAATTCCTATAATAATCCAGAATTCTTAAGACTGAATTTTACGAAGGTTTTTAATAGCAAGGTTGTATCACAACTTAAGAGAAAGGTTTTCGAAGGGACTTTTGGTGTAGTTAAATTGTATATATATGTATATATATATATATATATACTGTTGATTCTTTCACGAGCTAACCAATACTTGGTATTGGATATTTTTTGGAGGTAATCGGCAGGCAGCCTTGCTTGACCTTGTTGTTTTGAATTAGGTCATCTTCAGGATTTATTCTAATTCACATGACTTTAAAAAATTTAACCAGTGATGGTGAGTTTGTGGACCAGATTATAATAATGATAAGCGTCGAAAGTTTTGAGCGTCAGTAATAACGGTGATTATAATGATAACAAAAATAATGACAATAAGCTTAATGCAGGTGGTGATTACAATAATCAATGTAGTAATATGTGTATATGTAGACAATTCAATAAATAAATTAAGTTACGTAATACTAAAGGTGGGAAGGAAAGATAATCAGAGTTTAAATAAATATCATAAAAGTATGGAAGAAATGGAAAGTAAGAAAGAGTGGGAGGGTTTTAATTAGACTTTACCTAGGCTAAAGGAGAGACAATGGTAGAACGAACTCTTTTTATGCGAACACTAGGATTATTCTGTCTAATTAATTCCCATAGCTTCAGCAGTGCGTACAAGGTGGATAAGAATTCCATTCGGAAGGTATGATGGGATGCTAGAATTAGCAATGAAAGCAATTTTTCTGTGTCCACTAGGTGGCCATTGTCACCAATCAAATGGGACAGAATAGAACTTTTTATAAATTTTATTTGGCTTTTTCCGAACCACGAATAAAGATGCTGAGTAATACGTGTGTTGAGCTGTCCAGTTGTTCGCCCCATATAACTTTCTCCACAAGAGCAATTTAATTGGTCGATACACACAGAAGTGGCACAAGCGGTGGCGACTTTCCTTTAATTTGAGCAATCATAATTAGTCGGTAAATATTATACTGTCAGATAATGAACATCCTGTCCACACACACAACTTTCTCCTTGCTTCATCTCATCAGGTAGGGGAACTAGAACCAACTATGGAAGACTTTATGTTAGGATGACTAAGTTCAAAAGTCGACAATACCTTACTTAGCACACACTTTATGTGATGAGAAAAGTGTAAGGCAGGAAATTACCAAATTATTATGGAACTCTAAGTAAACGGCCCCATTTTCTCACCGTTAGATTGTTGTTAATGTTTTAATTTAATTTAATATTTATTTTCTTATTGAACAATATTATCCGTGTCAATGCTGTATTTTAATTAGATGCAATACTGTACTCCTGCATGCTGAAAATTCCATATTTGTACCAAACGTACTGTTTTCGAATAAAGCTATTATTATCGTTATTGTTATTATTAAGAAGGTAGGAGATTCTCAATGGTAATGCACTTCAAATTGTAGTCAGGCAGCTGAAGACAGTTGGCAGATCACTGTAAGTTGGAAAAAAGGTAGATATTTAGGCTAAAATAAGTTTTCAAAAACCTTTATTAATACTAGTGGACATCTACTTAAATTTACGCAGTATACTGCCTAAAATCTAAGAATTATCACCAAAAGCAGCCTACACTTAATGACTGTGTCAAGTGTTTTATTTCAATCGTTAGGACAGTGACTTTAACACAGTATAATTTTTCCTTTCTTTTCTCTTCGTTTGTGTGATGTAGATAAGACGGCGTAGTCCAGCTGAAGCTGCAGGATTGCGTGAAGGTGATCATGTGCTGGCGATTAATGGTGCAGATGCATTGGATATGTCACATGCTCAAGCTGTACAGATAATTGATCTTGCATCATATACACTGGAGGTGATTGTAGGCAGGTATGTTAACTGTCAAGTTTAATCAATTTGTAAAACAAAATTTTTCGAGTGGCTGATATTGTGATCAATAAAGGACACTGAATTTATACTATTATTATTTTTATTATTCCCTTGCGTTCCAAGTGGAACAGGGCTTCAACAACACTTCTACACTTTCTTCTATTTTCTACCGTCCTCTTCAGCTGGCTAACTCCACGATTGACCAAACTCTCTCATCTCTTCCTCACACAATCTCCTCCATGTCACCCTAGGACGACTCACTCATCACTTCCCATTTACGTTCCACTCGAGGGCCTGGCGTGCGATGTCATTCGGTGGCCTCCTCAGTATATGCCCGATCCATTTCCACTTTCTCCTACATATTTTTTGAGCGATCGGCTCTTGCTTGTTGGTTTGTTCCGATAGTTTCTTTTTGCTTATTCTTTCTGGCCTAGTTAACTAGCTCGCTAGTTTTCTTGCCGGTCCCAAGCCCGGGTAAAGAGGGAGGGCTGGATGTGGAGCTAGCAACCCCACACCCCTAAATCTTTCAAACCACTAGAGAAACTTCAACGCAAGGAAACTGACTACAAATGTTTTATTTATCATGCCTTTGACCTTGATAGAAAATGGCCTGCTTAGTAGGAAGAACACAGCACTCTTTAAGTAAACTGACAAGACTCTTCTGGTTTTCGTCGTGGTCTTCTGTCAACACAAACCTTATGAAAAAATATATACATGAATTTAAAGCCAGAGTACTTCTTCTACAAATCTACAACACTTATTATTATTGTATCATTGTTCCCTTTGGTTCCTAGTGGAACATAGGGCTTCAACTGCACGTCTCCACTTGCTTCTGTCTTGTGCTGTACTTTTCACTTGCGTCCATGTTAGTCCATACTGTTTCATCTCCTCCTCACACGATCTCCTCCATGTCACCCTTGGACGTCCCACTCGCCGCTTACCTTTCGGGTTCCACTCGAGCACTGGCCTGACGAGCGATGTCACTCAACGGCCTCCTCAGCGAGTGTCCAATCCATCTCCACTTCCTCCTGCATATTTGTTGGGCGATTGGTTCCTGTTTTGTCTGTTCCCATAGCTTCTTGTTTGTGATTCTTTCCGGCCATCTAATCTTCAGTATGGAGCGAAGACAGTTGTTGATAAAGGTCTGCAACAAGCTGTTGGAAATATTCTTGGTGACCCGCCAACTTTCTGATCCGTAAAGCAAAACTGACTTGACGTTTGTATTGAAAATCCGAATTTTGCTGTTGATGCTGAGTGACGAAGATTTCCAGATTGGTTTCAGGTTGATGAATGTGTTTCTCGCCTTCCCGATTCTCGATTTGACATCCTCGTCCGTTCCTCCTGTAGTTGAGACAGTGCTCCCTAGATAAGTGAATGAAGTAACCTCTTTCAAATCCCTCTCGTTGATGGTGATTGGCGCTGGATGTTTCTGCTGCTGTTGTTGTTGTTTGTTGGTTGGTTATTTTCATAACCTCCGTCTTGTCTATGTTCACCTGGCAGTCCTGTCTTTGCTGCTTCTTTGACCAGTTTGTCGGTTTTCGCTTGTAAGTCTTCGATTTTGTGTGCCATCAAACATAAATCATCTGCGAAATCCAGGTCTTCTAGGTTCTTCACGTCGGTCCAGGATATCCCTGTCTTCTCGTTTCCCACTGTCTGACGCATAATCCAGTCCACCACAATTAGGAATATCATTGGTGATAATAATCACCCTTGTCTGACTCCTGTGTTTACTCCAAACGCTTCGCTGAGTTTTCCGTTGTGGATCACTTGACATGTGCCGTTGTCGTACAGTTGTTGAATAAGGTTGATGAATATTTGGGGTACGCCGTAGTACTCGAGTAGTTTCCAAATTACTTCGCGGTCAACGCTGTCGAAGGCCTTCTCAAAGTCTATGAAGTTGAGGTAGAGATTTGATTGCCATTCCATGCTTTGTTCTGTGATGATGATGCGTAGAGTTGCAATTTGGTCAGAACATGGTTTGCCTTTCCTGAATCCAGCTTGTTCTGGTCGGAGTTGTGTATCCAGTGCGTCCCTTATTCTCTCCAGGATGATGCGACTCAGGATTTTACTTGGCGTCGACAGGAGCATGATTCCTCGCCAGTTCTTGCAGAGTCTCAGGTCGCCCCTCTTTGGTAGTTTCACTAGGTAACCTTTCCTCCAGTCAGTAGGCACTTTTCCCTCTTTCCAGATCTTTTACAATAATAGAGTCAGCATATCTGCTGTCGTCTCTGGGTCCGCTTTCAGTGCTTCCGGGGTATTGCATCTGGTCCAGCTGCTTTCCTAGCTTTCAGAAGCTCGATTGCATTCATGACTTCACTTTTCGTTGGAGGATTGGTGTCAACTTGCAGTTGTGTACGTGCTGTTGTTGGTATTACTGGACGGGTTGTAGGTTGTGGTCGATTCAAGAGTCCTTTGAAGTGGTCCAACCATTGTGTAATCTGTCTTTCTTCTTTGGTAATTGGGTTCCCTTGGCTGTCTTTTATAGGTTTCACTTGTGTTGATCTCTTCCCGGATAGAGACTTGGTTATCTGATATAGTGTCCTCAGGTCCCTTTTGCCTGCTGCCTTCTCAGCTTCAGTAGCCAGGTTGTCATAGAATTGTCTTTTGTCCTTCCTGGCACTCTTCTTCACTTCTTTGTCCAGTGCTGTGTAAGTTGAGTTCAGCCTCTCTTTCTCTTGTTCATCTTTGCATTGAATCATTTTTTCTTTCACCTTTCTCCTCTCCTCTATTAGCTTCCAAGTGTCCGTTGAGAGCCATTCCTTGTCTTGTTTCTTCTTTTTTCCTAAAACCGTTGAGCACGTTTCGTTGAAAATTACCTTCAGAGAGCTCCAATGGTCTTCCACGGATGATTCCTCAGTGGTGCCACGTAGTGTTTCCTGCTTTGCTCTGACAGTTGCAGTGAAAATGTCCTGTGTGATTGTGTCCTTCAGTTTCTGCGTGTTGAACTTGCATTGTGGCCTATCCCCAGGTATCCTCGAGGCTTTCAGCTTCACCTTGAAAGTCCCTTGTACTAGATAGTGGTCTGAACCCACATCTGCTCCTCTCCCCGATCTTGTGTCCAGTAGGCTCCGTCTCCACTTCCTTGAGATTGAAATGAAGTCTATCTGGTTTTTGGTGTGTCCATCTGGTGAAATCCATGTCGCCTTGTGTATATCCCTGTGTTTGAACACACTGCCACCAATCACCAAATCATTGAAGGCGCAAAAGTCTGAGAAGAGTTCGCCATTTTCGTTCATTTCACCGAGGGCCTCACGACCCATGGTGAGTTCTCTTCCTGTATTGTCTCCTCCCAGTTTCGCCTTCATGTCGCCCATCAGGATTTTGATATCGCTCTTTGGGACGTTGTCCATTACTGGTTGTAGTTGACTGTAGAAATCCTCCTTCTTCTCATGTTCTGAGGCGTTTGTAGGCGCGTAGCACTGAATGATTGTAACCTTTTTTCCTTTTGAGTTGAACCTGGCTGTCATTATCCTGGAGGAGATTGGTTCCCACTGCATGAGAGCTTTAGCCGCTGTTGGTGACATCATGATGGCTACTCCCTCGGTGTGCTCGTGATTGTCCTCTGGGTGACCGGAGTAGATTATTGTTTCTCCAGTGGATAGTTGGCTCCTTCCACATCCGTTCCATCTGCTCTCGCAGATTCCCAACACTTATATTTTATATCTCCTCATTTCTGCGGCTACCTGAGCAGCCTTCCCAGCTTCGTACATTGTACGAACATTCCACGTCCCCATCCTTATTTTCGCATTCATCGAAAGAAGGCACATCTGCTGACTGGCTTCCCGAAGGCTTTCACCAGCCCGCGTCATTTCACTTCCCCGATTCCAGCGAAAAATAAGGTCACTATTTGTAATTTTAGAATTTTGAATATATTTGTGCGTTGAAGTTTTAGTAGCAATTTGGTTAAGTTTTGGGGGTGGAGTTACTAGCACCACGCCCCAACCCTCCCTCTTTATCCGGGCTTGGGACCGGCTAGAATACTAGTGACCTAGTAATCTAGGTCAATTTACAACACTAATTTCCATAAAAATATGTACTACTGACTGAATGCGATGACTATCTGAACACCACTGACATCTACCAGTAGTACTTGCTAGGCAGACAGACAGAAGTGACTGAAGCACCAGATGGCCATTTTGGTCGTTTGGGGCCGCACTCATCACAAATGTATCAAGTTTGAATAAGTCCTTCGAAGTAGCTGGACAGAAGTGGGATGCTTTGGACTGATTCGGCTCTCTCAGCTCAGTCGAACTGGGTACACCACTGGTGAGCTATGTCCCAAAAAGAACAAAAAGGCTATCCGGTATTTAGATCACCTTGATCTGGCTGCTAGCAGACACTACTGGTTGATAGTTGTGGTGTACAACTAACTACTCATCTCAACCAATCAGTAGTATATAGTGTTATACAGTTGTGTTTGTTTTCTTAATCACCATTTATGACACCAAGCAGACCACATGTTGTTGAAATCTGAGTAATTTTGGTTTCCGAAGGAAACATTGTAAACTGCTGATCAACCTTCAAGTGTGATGACGAGTAAACATCAATCAGATAATCATTGGAAAACCGGGGAGTACTGGAAGGCGGTTTCGTCCTAGTGCTTGAGATATTTTAGCGGTACAAACACACTTTCAGGACTCGAACTCAAGGCCTCTTATTTATAAGGCGAGTCCAAACAGCATTCAACCGCTGAGACTCAATCCAGTGGCTCATGATTACCAACTTCTGCCAATTCACGTACCGAAGTCCTAAACTTATAAAAAACTGTCCTTATAACTTTTATCAATGTAGTTTTCTGGATGTGCTGATTTAACCTGTTACACGGTTTGATGTAAATGTGATTAAAGTTGTCTTTTATTATCGCTTGATTAATTTTTGATAATTGTTATTAGATGGTTGGTGTCAATCGGCAGGGAGCCTAGCCCAATCTAGATTTCGTGCTAGTTGGCACTCACCAGTCAGTAAGGCGTATGCATGATCTTGGAGGAACTCATATCCTC